TTTAATCCTTGTGACAAGACCTTTCAGTTGATAGGAAGACCTTTGACTTTGACCTCGCAGTTTGACCTACTTTAACATTTTTTTTTCCTTGTTCATAACTTCTGAACGGTTAGGGCTAGGGCTTCCATACTTCACACATGTAATTTTTGTGACAAGACCTTTCACTGGATACCAATGACTTTGACCTTGGAGATTTTGTACTTATGAAAGAACTTTAACCTTGGCCTACTTTCATATTTCAAAATTGTATTTATAGTTAAAATACCCAATTTTTAATATCTGGTACAAATATATTAAATTTGCATTCAAGAAAAGTTTAATCATTGCTATGTTGCAATACGGGGGCATCAGTGTTTCACAAACACATCTTGTTCAATATAGATCACGGAGGGATGGGCATCCCTGCCGACCAGTCACACCCGTCGTCTGCTCCTGGTCATGATTGTGAAATAACGGAACATTCCGTTGACAATTCAGTGTGTAAATAATGGCATAACAATTAGTATGGAAAAAAGTCTGTCAGCAATTGCCTAAATGATAGTCTACCTTATATGCCAATGTCATTGAATCGACCGTAGAACTTACTTCTTTCACCCGTTAAGCATCCTCTTGCGTATTGAATCGATTCACAAATAAAAACCCGTTTGCAGGTGATAGAGGTAAATGTGCTGCATAAGCAAGAAAAATGACGATTGATAAGTTAAAGTCATCAGGTTTATCATAATTCTTTGTTGTTAGATTACCATCATTTAGATATCCAAATATATAATATACAGACGTGTGACAGTATGTGGTATCTTTTATTTCAAGCCCACTGCTTTATATCGTGTCTATTTAAGAAATAAACAACGTTATTCAGTGAACATGGCGTTATGAATAGCATTTGCTCTGCTGGCATATTCCATGATGCGCGCTAGCGCATCATGGAAAATATGCCAGCAGAGCTATTGCTATTCATAATGCCATGTTCACTGAATAATTGTTGTTTATTACTTATATTTGCATTCTTTGATTTTTTTCAAGAATATTAGAGGAAATCCTGACTTACATAAGGACGCAGCTTTTTGTCTTCAGTAAAGAAATACATACGGTTTTAAAATCAGTACACCTGATCAATACTCCTTTTCTCTAATAAATCACAAGCAATTTTTAAAGTATATCCCTCTCAAACATAGTTATCTGGATTCAATCAGCGCCGTCATCATATTCTCTTAGTATTTTTGTTTTGATGCAGTTGTGACGTCATCGATCAACGTTATTGAATCCCTCTGACAAAAATCAATAATTTAACGCTATGATGAAAAATGAGAATGCTTCCATAATGATTATTACTCAAGAATGCTTTTCCATGATTTTTTTTAGTTTTCCTATTTAATTTTAATAGCTGAAATCATTCTTGAAATAGATATACTAGTTAAAGAAATTTTCTCTTTCTGAATGTTATTACCCAAGTGTGAAGAGTTATTGTTCTTTGTACAAACATACATGATACGAAAAAATAAAAATATGGCAGTTCTCAATAATTTTTAAAAATTTTATTATACAATTAAATACATTGACCAAAATTAAATTTTTAAAGATATTAATCAGCAATTCTAAATATTCTGAATTTCTTTTTTTTTTAAAGAATATTATTAAAAACTTACATTTATTCCACTCACGAAACAGTTCATATATATACTTCTCAACACGCAGTCGATTGGTACTAGAGCTTGATCTACACGAGTGAGATAAACCAATTGCATTAATAGCAGGAACAGTTGCGTTTACTGTCCTATGAATGCAGTTGGTGCATACATGTTCATAGTGGGAGAGAGCAGTGGATATGCAAATATACATGAATGTAAACAACTGTTGTTTTTACAGATAATAGGTCATTGATAAATATCGACTTGAAGGCAACAGCAAGTGTTTTTCTTTGAAACCCAAACAAAGCTCCTGGCCAAAATGCCGTCCCAGTTAAAGCGTTCAAAGTTTTGAATAAAATTAGGGGCGCTTTGACCAAAATCATAGGGCGCTTCGATCAATATTGGGGGTTGGGTGTAGCTGTTTTGTAACATCAGTTTCTTGTAAAATTCTAGAAGGGACCCTTTGAACAAAATCAGGGGATATGCTTTTACAAGAAAATATTTGTTTGGGGGCTATTTGACTGGCTCCCTTTTGTTCCTCACATGTTTAAGATTCGGAATTAATTTAACTTATTATTAATATATGAATACATTAATTATGGTGGCATATCTCTGCACCCTACATGCAAGAAAAATGATGTTAACAAGCAAGAAAATTATGTCAACATGCAAGAATATTATGTCTACATGCATATATTATGTTGACATGCAAATTACAAATATTTTAAGAGAATCTGATTTTAACATGGGTAAAATCCTGTATATAAGCCCGTGTCTGACATCATAGATGCAAGATGGAATATAATTATGACAAGATGCGGTTTACTTATGTTAACATAAGTTAAATTATGAAGACATGCAAGATATTTATGTCAACATTCGAGTTAATTATGTCAACTTGCGAGTTAATTATGTAGACACGCAAATTATGTGAATATGCAAGTAAATTATGTAAACATACATTATACGTATATTAACGTGTGAGATAATTATGTAGACATGCAAGCTTAAAATAATTATGTTCACACGCTACTTATTTATGTCAACATGTGGCTTAGTTATGTCAACGTGCGAGTTATATTTTTACATACAAGATATCTATGTGAACGTGCAACATGATAAGTTGCGTATCCACATACATATCTTGCATGTTCACATAATTATCCTTCATGTTGACATAAATGAGTCGCATGTTGACATAATTGTCTTGCATATTGACATGAATAAGTCGCATGTTAACATAATTATCTTGCATGTTGACATAAATAAGACTCATGTCTACATAAATATGCTGCATCTTGCATGTACGATGTCAGATACAGGCATCAGTAAGTAAATTTACCCATATATAAATTATATTTTCTTATAAGATTGGTAACTTGCATGTCAACATAATTAGGCTGCATGTCTACATAATTATGTTGCTTGTTGACATAATTTATCTTGCAGGGGGCAGACATATGCCACCATAATTAATCGGTCTGCTAATAACAGGTTGTAATTGAAGCCCATGGGAATTCCAATAGATTTTTGAAGACCTTGTCTCCAAAACCCCCAGAGATATTTTCAATCAAAAACCCAAACATCTTTTTGATGTCAACTTCAGAGTACTTGTGTGTACAATTAGAATGTTTTTAACAAAATAATTTTGCTAATGATCAATGACAAGGTAAGTAAATTTACGAGTTCCATTCTTACTGAAGCTGTGAATGATTTCAAAAAGCCCAGATTTTAATTTACCGTGGAAACAGTTGTGTGTAAAGTTGAAAAGTCGTGCTTTTTTAAGCTGTTGATTTTAGTAAAATCTTGTGATTTGAAATTGTCCAAAAGTTCCTTGGAATTTTTAAGAATCCACATCTCATTTACACCACTTCTTGAATATATTGTTGCACTGTACTCTTGAAGTTTCTACTTCACTACTGTTAATATCTTAGTGAAGAAGTAAAGAACATTTGGCTGGACATTTACTGGAACCGGCTATGTATCGTTGTAAGGATTTTTATGAAGTTTCGTAATCCACTATAGATATGGTAATTCGAATTCATTTTTGTTGTTTGGGATATTAAAAACATTCAAAACTGACATGGTTTTGAAGGATTTCTTCCTAAGAAAAGAGAACTACTAGTTAAATTAAATCTAGTATATAAAAATTTGATAGTACATTTTTTGAACTTAGTATTATTTTCAAAGAATTTTTGAAGTAGATAAAGAATCCAGTATAAAGAAGAAGGTATGGTTTTAGCTTTATTGCTACCTAAAAATGTAATGACATCAAAACGTTTTGAAACTGGCTTAGATATTAGTTTAATAAATGACTCTGATAAATCAGGAAAGAATATGGCATGAAGGTTTACCATTCTGCAAATATGACGTCATTAATGTGAAGCATTTCTCTATTTTCAACAGAAAAAGCCTCAAAATGGCACATTTCAAGGGAGATTTTCCTTTAGAAAAGATTGTCCACAGCCGTCGCTCACGTTAATTTTTTTGATATTTTGTGCAAAATTCAATAACAAATCACATATCTCAAGATCTTTGTGGGCGATACCTATGGACAATGTTAACTGAAAGAATATTCCATTGAAATTTGGTGTCTTCTGCAACTTTTTAAGAAAATACGGGAAAATGCACATGTTTATGACGTCATAATTAGCATTTAAAAACACATGTGAGAAAAATCACTTGTATGATTTTTCTGCATTGAATTTCAATTATTCAAAAAGCATGAGTTTTCAACTTTTACATCAGTTTCATTTTTTAGAAAATCACAGGGCAAAACTTGTATGGAAACCATACCTTCTTCTTTGGTGACATATGATTTTGACGATTTTCTTTCTACAATTTGAGAATTTGGGTTTACAAATGAATTTATGTGATCTAAATGCCCACAGAATTGTATTTTCGTTTATCAATACTGCTGTAAGAATGCATGGGTCTTGAGGTTTTTCCCGGGTTATATTTTCTAAGCAAAGGCTAGTGTCGGCTATTAGCTTCATCCCTAGTAAAAAAAAATAATTTTTGGCTCCAAAGACCGTGCTTAATTTACTAGTAATTTTCACCTTGTCATTTAAATGCGTCATGAAATTAAAATATAATTGATGACTTCGACAAATGAGTTTCTGATATTTGTTTGCTCAAAAGCCATACCGAAAGCCATGCCGATGGAATAACATGCCTTTAGGTGAAATATACTGAGATAACAGACATTGTTCGAGCAAAAAGTCCATTAAACATAACAAAGTCGGGGCAATGCAAACATGGACCTTCAAAACATTATTTAAGATAATATGCCTGATCAAACATAGAGTGTAGAAGTGTGACCGGTCAGCAGGGGAGGCTTATTCCTCCTAGGTACCTGGTCCCATCTGTAAAATGTTCAGATGTAAGTATTTTTGTCAAGTTCACAAATGTGTATTGTTGGTAGATTTTTTTTTTAGATTGGTATCTTCACCTTTTTTCATAATGCTATTTGGAGCTACGCTTTTGATGTCAATATGTATAACAAACAAAATCATCACTAAATGAAAGTTAAAATAAATTTTGCAGCATAGAATTTCTCAGAATGCTATGATATCGTTTTTTTTACACTCATATAATTGAAAACTTATATATTTCTAGGCATCTGTAACCTAGGAAAACTACAAAATGAGACTGCATCAATGTCGTCTGTATATCGATATAGTAGTACGAATCTCTCTTTGAATGCTTGGAGGGCATTAGATGGGAAGTTCCGTGACCACATGAAGGGTGATTGTGCTGGTACAAACGTTGATAGAAAATATACATATGCATGGTGGAATATTACGCTGTCACCTATGAGTATAATTTACAAAATCAACATCATTTTCAGAAAAAATTGTAAGTATTTTCGTTAAAAGCAATGTTAAAGGAATACTAAGTATGCTGCTATTTAAAATATATTATATAGTAAAAATGTTTTACATATGTACGTCCTTTGAAATATTTCGCAACCCACTCGTTTAACATGCACGTATGTGATGCACACCTTTATCTAAAGATGCTGTTTGAGACATTTTGTATTCTTTTAAAACATGACAACAGACTATTAGGTTTGCTTCGAAAATTATGCAAAGAGAATATGAAATATATTAACAAATTGACTTTTAAGTGTCCATCAACATAATTCAGAGAATAAAAAATGATACTAAATCTTTATATATATTAATATTTGATGTTAAAATAGAAATGTAATTGAAGACAATATTTGATTAATGGTTTGCTTTACACTCATTTCCTACATTTATTTATGTCTAAATATTTTATTCTGCTCATTCTAACTTGAAATAGGTTTTGCCTGTTTGCATTATTGTTTGTTGTTTAACGCCCCTCTCGCGAACTTTTCACACATATGGAGACGCCAACATGAAATAGGAAAAGAAAAAAAAGAATGAATTAATGGAAAATGGACACAGTTTTAACTGAATTTTTTAAAAACCAATTTTAATGTTTTACAATTCCTAGCTTAGACAATTCTAATGATTAGCAAACAATTTTAACATAATTTCAAAGGAGATACAGAACTTAATATTTTTCATAATGTGAACAAGGCTTGTGCTTTTGTTTTTGTATAAAAAATGTCGTAATTAAAACAAAAAGAGATTCATTTAATCACTAGAGACGCCAACGTTGCGCGGTGGTTAGAACGTCTGCTCTAGCAGGGGCGTAGCAACTTTTTTTCCCAACCTTACTTAGACTATAGGAAATGTTAATTGAAAACGTGGTTGGCCCTCCCACTTGTAGTGATGTACCGAAAATGTAGTATTAGAATTGGTACTGAAAGTAGCTGACACTGAGAAAAAGTTAACACCTACCTAACCCCCCCCCCCCCCCCCCCCCCCCACGAAATAGGATTTTGGACAACTTTTTCCTTTTTTTTTTTGCTTGTCAACTTTATCAGGTAAGTAAAAAAAAATTTTTCTCTGGCTGGCCCCCCCACTTTCAAAAACGATGCTACGTCACTGTCTAGAGTCGCAAAGTAAGGATTAATCCATTCGAATCCCACTGTAGGACGTGAAGACCAGCCCTCCGGATGAGACGGAATAAACTGATGTCCTGTGTCGCAGTAGGTAACAGTAAAAAAAGATCCCTTACTGCTCTATGGACATCAGTGACGAGTATAGGACAAAGTTTGCAGCTCTCCACCGGCAAATGGTGGCGTCGACGTCTCCATATGAGTGAAATACTCTCGAGAGGGACATTAAACAACATACAGCCAATCAATCAGTCAAATCACTAGAATCTGTCTATTCGTATTTTGAACTAACTTCTTTTTGATCGAACATATATGTATATTTAACCTAAGTTAGAAAAAATAACACATGCCCTGTCTTATAGCTCGAGAACTGAAATTCAAATTTAGGATAATCAATAGAAAACCCTTAGTTAAATATTTGTAAACATGAAAAAATGGAATGAAAGATTAATTTAATTTTTTTAGCTGAAACCGTGTCCAAATCCCTTTAAAGGAATAGAAGAAAAATTTGAAAGAGTCCTCCAATTGATATACTTTTTATTTTTAATTTAGATACTCGACATTATGGTTACTACGTATACCTTAATGAGGAGCCTGTTGACATCAGTGGTCTCGCCAGTCTACCTGCCGTGTATCGGGGTCACCTGGTACACCCCAGTACACAAAACGTCATCCTCTTCCCGGAAGGACACCAAGGGAAGCAGATGTACATTTATCTGAACAAATCTAAACCTGAAAAAAATGATGAAAAAAACAACATCCTTGACATTTGTGAAGTAGAAATACTAGGTAAACAATCTTTCTTTAAATCCCTCTCTTTATCTCATTATCAGTATTAAAAACTAGAGGTACTGTGAGCAATGAGCTCACTAAATGATACCCCCCTCCCCTACGATATATACTGACAGTGTCCATCTTTTGCTATGGGGAAGCCAAAATATGTGTCGGACCAAAAAGTAAAATAGGATGTGCACAATGGCAATATGGAAAGTTTCATCAAATTTCTTTCAGTGGTATAAGAGGAGTTGCGGATAAGAGGTAACAGACAGACGGACATATTAATTACTATATAGTATTACCCTTCCGCATTTCAAATGGGGGTATAATGAAATATGGAAAAAATGAAGAGGTTTCGAGATAAAGAGTCCATGAAACAATACAAACTGGGAGCAGAGAAAAAAATTCCTCTAAAAAGAACGAGAACTATCAAGAAGGAGTTAGCTCCCATGTGGATCAATCTTACCCTCCTTGCGCTCTTTGTAGCAAAACAGAAATATCCGTAGACAATTCATAATGTAAATAGCCTTACAATAAGTATGAAAACAGTCAGTCAGCATTCGACTTACTGATGGCATGTACTTGCTAACAAGATCATTGCATCGCCCATACAACGGGCGAAATAATGACTTTAATGGAGACTTTTTTAATCCTTGTTTTATTAACTTGTTTGTTTCTCGATATATACCAGCATCCAAAATAATAAACTTGAAATCGAAATAATAAAGTGAAAATAGTTTCCACAATTGTTTCATATCTATATACTAAAATATTTCATCTATTAAAGAAAATTGTGGTAAACCTTTAACTTAGTTATATAACATACAGGATAAATTCTGATTTTTTATCGTCAAATTTTCTACATTTATGGAGCAATATTCAAACATCCTCCGCACATGGTGTTTATTGCTTTTTATCTGATTCGATACGAAGTCCTTGCTCTTTATACATGTACAATTCATGTTTAAAACCAGACAAACTACTGACAAATATTTTATGCAAAAAGGATTTTTAACAACTCCATTAATTTGAGTCAATTTTTTCGCATTCATTACGGCCTCTATAATATTAATGAGATTGATTTAGGAGGTATCCTATTATTTGATCGAATTTCGACATGTGTACAACATTGTTGGGTTATTGTTAGAATTTAAAAATTACACCGGAGTCGTCATTCCAACTGACCAGTACAATGTGCTTACGGCAGTTGTTCCCCTTCGACATGGGATTCTCTCTCCTCTTAGGTATCTGATCCTTGCTCTGAGGTTTACAGGGGTTCGTGTTTTTATCCTTCACCCTTCGGGATTAGATCTCGTGACTTACCCGTATTTATAGGGTAATGGATGTTTTAAAATTACACCTTATTTCTTACTTTTATACATTAGAAAACAAATACCAGTATGAAAGTATTTTTCAATTTTTTGCAATATTAAACTTTTTATAGGCGATAGGAATATGTTTCTATGGTGGGGTCTATTCTTCTCTTTGCATAATTATTATACATTGAATACATTACATGCACTATTAATGTGTGTATTTATTGCACTGTTAATTCTGGCTCTATACAATAACTTGTATATTTAAAACATAATTGATTATAGGTTGTGTAAACAACAATAGTAAAGGTTACGAAGAAATAGGATGCGCATGCCCGGAGCAGGAGGAATACCCAGCTGGTGAGTCACTCATGATGAATCTTTAACCTGGAGTTTTATTCTCTAGAAGTTATGTTTGGTTAGAACATGTTAATCAAAATAATTTTCTAGAAATTCACGAGACTTCACAATCTTAGAAGTTACAAGTTTTAATAGTCATTCTCTTTAACGTAAAGTTTTTTTACCACACATAGTCACTGCTTGATACCATAATATACAATGAAGCGCATTGAAGTGGTAAAATTTTCCTTTTGGACGAAACGTTCTGAGTCATGTTTTGAATGTCAATTATAACATAATGACACACCCATTTCTTTAGAGACGAAAAAAGAAATATTCGTCATCATTGTTTAAGGTCACCCCACTCTTCGTGACAAGCAACATGAGTTACACCGTAATGGAAATTTTTAAAGTTATAAGATAATTAGAGTTCCCGCTTCTGTAAAACACGTATTTCAACGAATTTGTCAATAATTATTAATTTATCATGTTTATTGGAGTTATCAAACATATGTACTGTCCGAACACGTGCTTACTCGGTGTTTATGTATAGACCGTCAATGTGATTGACTATTATATTTATGGAATAGCTATTCTACAGGTATTCGAATGAACCGTTTCACCGATCTTTCCTTTCTAAAGAAATGGGCGTGTCAATTTATGACAATCATCGTTCTTAAGATGGCCCAGAACGTTCCAGTCAAACGGAAAATTCTACTACTTCTACTACTTCAATGCGCTTCATTGTATATATTTTTTATCCAGGTGCTTTAAAGACGGAGATTGCTTTTCCCAGCAAAGAAAACAACATTGCTATTCAGTGCTATTCGAAATATATCATTATTCTAAATGTATCAAGTCTTCAAGAAGAATGTAATTTTAAAAGGAAATGCACAACAAATACTAAAGATATTGGCCATACTATATTTTTCCAATGTTCTGGTGAGTATGTCGGGACTATTAAGAATGGTAAAATTCATATTTAAGAAATTATTTGATAGAAATAACGTGTGGTCATCTTTATCGGAGGTGATGTTCTACAATAATGAATTCATGAGCTTTTCAAGTCAAATGCTGACTGTCTATTTTTGATAGTCATTGTTAAGCCATTATTTACAAACTGAATGAATTGCACGTCTAGGGCTGTGTATTGAGCCAAAATTTTCGATACGATACGATACAATATTTTTTAAAGCAATATGCGATATATTGGATTCTAAAACAAGTCTATTAGAAAAGACTTCTAAATAACTTAAATGCTTATATTTCATAATAATTAAGTGTTTTATTACCCATTTTAAAGTTCTTGTCTCATTTTCTTTAAAAATAACACTTCATTAAAACATTTGATGACAATAAAATCAACATGTTCAAATGAACTTCTCTTTGTATTTTGTAATAATTATAAAAACTGTGTCATTTCCTTGAAAATTATATAATTATTGAACTTTTTAATTAAAAAAAGTAAAATAAAATCTTTGGTGATTGAAATTCCCATCTTTTAAACAGAATTTGAAGAAAAAATGTCTGTCCGATACGTATTGGAATTATTTTCGATACGATATTTTTCATGAATATCGATACGTATCGATATATCGATATATTGATACAGCCCTATGCACGTCTACGAATTGTTCCGTTATTTCCCGAGCATAACAGAGAACACACTGCGGGTATGACGGGTCGGCAGGGGATGCTCATTCCTCCATGGTATCTCTAATGTTTTAGAGGTCTGTGTTTGTTCTGCTTCTGATTCTGATCTTCATTGAATGGACTTCTGAAAACTGTTTATTATTCCCGTATATTTCAATTCTTGTGCTTTTAAGTGCCAATAAATCGGAAAAGAATTTTAAACTAGAACATATATTTCCTCTTTTATCATGTTTATGGTAGAGGCTTTATTATATGCTGTTTTCCGACCTGTTTGAGAAATGTTACTCCTATATTATCATCGTATACTGGTAAAGGGTTTACTCGGTATTTGACACTCAGAGCTTTTGAGAAGTAGGGGATCTTTATCGAGGTAACTCGTTTCGTTGAGGAAGCGGGCCTCGGTTTTAAGCTCTTATACGAAAAAAGAAACTCACATCAATCACTCATACAGCTGGGTTTTATTGAAGTTACAGCTGCTGTCTATTTCGTTCATTTAGGGCAGTCGCGACCGTAGTTAGAATGATCTAACTGTGTCTCGATACAAGCCCTCACCACAGTTAGAATACATCCCATATACTTGCAATGTAGCAAATCGGAGCGGATCCGCTCCGAAACGATTTTGAAGAATATAAAAGGATTTGCACTGGAAATAACTGCCAAATTAATCAAAACAAACCTTTTTGAGATTGCTTATGCCTTTTATTCCAGAAAATGATCCATCTAAAGAGAAAATCCAATAAATTTTGTAAACGTTTTTCTCTCGCTTCCAATTTACCTGCCATGTTTACAATCGGAACTCTCTAGATTGTTCGTAGTAAACAGTGGTAAATGCACTGATTACGAGTTATCGCCCATGTTTCTTCGAATACACGGAACGAATTCTATCGTTAAACCGGGTCCGTAGGACATTTATCATTTTAAGGATGGAACATTCTATCTATCGCGACCGATGTTTGAACCTGGTTTTTATGATAACAAACTTAGAGCTCTACACACTGAGCTACTGTAACCGATTATAAAAAAGCAAACTAAGTTTTCAAAAATATAAGAAAACTAAGTATAGAAATCTACCGGTTGAACAAAGAATACTCAAATTTTATATCACATGCAATCTTTGCTCTTATTAACATGTAGATTTTTAAAATAATATTCCACATTCACATACATGTATTGTTTATCGCTCAAAAATTATTCGATACTCAACACTCGAGTCAGATGAAGTTTACAACGGAGGCAGAGTACTGTTAAATGAGAAGAGATTACATGAATTTCGACAAGGAAGTTAAAAATCAGCATGAATTTCAAATTGTACCCTATCATTGGTTTATATTTTGATTGACAAATCTTTTCCCAATTCATAGGCATTTGTTTTGTTTAAATATGACTACTAATAACCCGTCTATCTGAAAAATACATAGGTCTCACGATACTGATGATATTCTGAAAACATGGTACATTGATGATAATATTTATAGTTTTTAACACGTCTTAACAGAGTTCTGCCTCAATATTACATTTGATGAGTTGACAACTGAAATTGAAGACAATTCGAAAGGGTACTACCTAGAGGGTGAAAACGTCACACTCCGATGTAAAGATAACCATACGCTCTCTAGTGGTAATCTGACGAGAATGTGTAAAGGTAATGAGTCGTGGAATGGTGAGGAGACTGTTTGCAAAAGTAAGTATTTCTAAACTCTTTTAAAAGATCTGTAAAGATCTTTTACAGATCTGTAAAGATCTTTTACAGATCTTTTAGATATATCGACGACGTATTGTCAATTAATAATGGTAATTTCCATTCCTACGTCGATACAATATATCCTGGTGAGCTTAAGATAAAAAGATACCACAGAGTCCTACACTTCTGTTTCAGAATTGGATATTTTACTTGAAAAAGACACAAATGGCAATCTAACAACCAAGCTAAGTAGATGATAAACGTGATGACTTTAACTTTTCTATCGTCAACTTCCCTTACTTATGCAGCAATATACCTTCATCACCTGCATACGGAGTATATATATCTCAGTTGATTCGATACGCAAGAGCATGCTCTACGTATGAACAATTTCTAAAACGAGGTAAATTATTGACAAGCAAGTTAATTTAAACAATATTTTATTCACAGATGTTATTGTGAATAGGATTGGGCAGCAGGCGCAGCCTATTTTAGCCCTCTCCCTACATTTAGGTCAAGGTACAAAACAAATAGTGATAATAAAAGAATGTACAAAAGAAGAGAGAAAAAATACAAACAAAAGTGAACAAAGTAACATAGAAAAAAACAGAAAAAGTCATATATAAAAAATTAAACAAAAGAGAAAAATAGAATGAACAAAATAACAAAAAGGGCAAATTACAGGGGGAGACAAAATACAAAGTAGTACCGGTTTGGGAGTACTAAATTATATCTATATATAGATATGACAGTGTTTATATAAAACGTTTTGTTGCTGCTATAAATGTATGTACAGCTTCAAATATTTGTATATTAATGTCAAGTCCATGGTTAGAACTACCATTTAAAAATAAATCACATTCAGGAATATTATCACAGTTTATAATATTATGTGTTGATTGAAAGAGTACATCTCTTGGAATTGTATATTTTGGACAGACAATAAAGTAATGATAGGCATTTTCAATACAATCAGTACAATGTTCACACATTGGAGTTTCAGCTAAATGTTGATTATATAAATCTGCTTTCAGATTACTAGCATTATTCCTTATCTGGCAATGTATTATATTATACTTTCTTATTCCAAAATTAAAAAGTTCAATACTTTTCCTACAGAAATGAGATTTTAAAAGACTTTTGAATGAACATATTCCTGGAGCATTTTTAATATAATCTGGCAAGGTATTCCATTGTTTGACTGTAGAGGGGAGAAAACTTTCCATATAAGATGTTGTTCTAATATTAGGAATTTTGAATTGAGCATTATTAGTTCTAAGATTATACGAATGACTTGATGGGCGATAAGGTTCAATCAGATCATACAGATACTGTGGAGAATAACCATTAATAATTTTATAAAATAATATTAACTTATGAATTTTTCTCCTTGTTTTTAAGAGATCCCATCCAAGTTCATCATACAATTTTGTACGAGAAGAGTTACACCTTAATCCAGTTATAATTCTACCTGCTTCAACTTGTATATCTTCTAAGAGTTTAGAATCTTTTTCAGAACAATTGTCCCACACTACATCAGAATACTCTAACACAGGTCGAACAAAAGCAAAATATATTTTAATGAGTGTTTTACGTGAAACCTGGTATTTGAGCATTCTAAGAATGTTTAATCTTTTTGAAGCTTTTTCGTGTATTATCTGTATGTGTGATGTCCACATAGCATCTCTTTGGAAACGTAAACCTAAATGGGTATGAGAATCATTTTGAATAATAGGTGGGCCATATTCACCAAATTTAACAGGAGAATATACAATATTTTTTCTACTAAAATTTAAATTTACAGTTTTGTTAGGATTAAAATCAACTAGCCATTTCTTTGACCATTTATCAATATGTTCTAGATCATCAGTAAGTGATTGTGTAATATTTTCTTTGTCTACAATAGCATATAAAGAAGTGTCATCAGCAAAAAGTCTTATATTGTTGACTAGATCATCACAAATATCATTAATATACAAAAGGAATAGGAATGGTCCTAGGACAGAACCCTGAGGAACTCCAGCATTTACTGTTTCAGAGTTTGATGTAAAACCATCTATTACAACTTTTTGTTGTCTATCAGACAAATAATTCTCAATCCAACCTAGTACATTGCCATTCATACCATAATTTGATAGCTTTGTTAAAAGGCCTTTATGCCATACTCTATCAAATGCCTTAGAGATATCACAAAAAATAAATCTTACATCTTTACCTTTATCAAGATTCGAAATGATAGTATTATATATTTCTACCAGTTGATTAACAGTTGAATCTCCAGGTTGAAAGCCAGACTGATATTTGTATAGTATGTTATTGTCCTTCATAAAGTTATATAAATGTTTAAACAGTATTTTTTCCATCAATTTACACAAGACACTTGTTAGAGATATTGGTCTATAATTAGATACCTCTTGAGCACTCCCTTTATTTTTAAAGACTGGTGTTATTTGCGATAACTTCCAGATATCTGGTAGTTTTTTTTCCCTTAATGACATATTAAAGAGAGTTGTTAGGGGCTTTTTAATAGATGTGGATATTTCTTTTAGTACTCTTGGAGATATGCCATCAGGACCAGGTGGTTTACTGTTATCAATGATAGTTAACTGGTCATAAATTTCAGCAAGTTGACGAAACAGGAATATCAGCAGTCTCGTTTAAAGTCATCATTTCGTAAGTTCTCAATGGTTCTCATGGTCGATACAATGACCTTTTCAGCAAATACAGTTTATCATTGAGTCAAATGCTGACTGACATTTTTCATACCAATTGTTAATCAATTATTTACACACTGAATTGACCACGGATTTTTCCCGTTATTTTCTGATCATGACAAGGAGGACACGGCGGGTGTGCGGTCGGCAGGGGATGCTCACTCCCACATGGTACCTGATCCCGCCTCTGATGTTTCAGGGGCCTTGTTTGCTCTGCTCTAATTTTGTATTGTTTTATGGACTTTGAGATTGAATACTGTTCGTTATCTCGATATCCTTCTGTAGTAACAATCACTGTTTCTTTATGTTTGATTCTAAGTTTTTACTTTCATATGTGGAAATACTTGATCAGTTATAAAGCATTAGAGTAATATTTAATTCATGAACATACATTACATATACTGTACATATATATCAATCCCTTCGAACAGATTTCACTCATAGATGTTTCATTCTCAAATTAAAAAGGTGAAGATAAAGAAAAGCAAATTATCTTCGTAGACAAGAAATAACGAATTATTTTCGAAAACAATTACAATAAGACAGCATTTAATATAACATGTACTTGTTCATGCATAGAATAAGAATTTAAGGGGCGGAATGTACGGGACGTATATGTATAATTATGTGATTTAGTAATTAATTTGATATTGTCAATCAGAAACTCAAGCATCTTTTTCCTATCAACATCAAAGTACATGTACATGGTTATACAAAATATGGTCATTTAAATTCATATTGGGTGATGAAATATAAAAAAGTTATAAAAACTCACATAAATTGGAAGAATTCCTCCTTAGAAAAGGAAATCTGAGTATAAGTTAGATTATCAGATGTAGTATTAAATTCCTGTTCCTCTAAAATACATTTTAAACAATGAACCGTACAAAAACAATGTTGTTACCAGTGCGTACTGAATGTGAAATCCATCTATTCTTTTTTCACGCCTTAATGATTGAACAAAGAGAGACAGTTGGTTTTCATTTTGCCTCTCAGTCGTTTTAATTTGAGATTTTAACATACATCTGATAAATTTCATCCGTTATGACAACGTGTCAAAGGCTTCTTTTTCACGTGTGGTCTAGACTAACAAAATAAATCTTATTTTCATAGCACTTGTTTGAATATTTCAGAAAATTTTGTTATGAATCAAACATTCTTTACACCCATTAGCGTACGTTTATAAACATTCTCAATGAAAAATTTCAGAAATCTTGTCCACACTCAATTCAAATAATAAATGCCGACTAAAATGACTAAACTGACACTGCTCAAATGAAATAACTGACCAAAGATGTCTTAATATAAATACAGAATTTGTTATGTATTATTTGCATATATAACATGTAAGTAACAGTAGGTAAATTTTGTACAAGACTTTTTCTTTAATATCCTTATTTTGTTGGAGGATTTTGCCCGAATGCAACATTCAATGACAGCACAACATTGGTTATTCAACAAAATCTTTATGTTCTTGTGGACCAGAACATTACTTACAAGTGTAAGGCCAACCATCGACTGGTGACTGGCGATCTGACACGACAATGTTTGAATGACAGTGCATGGACAGGTTCTCAGCCCATTTGTAGGAGTAAGCATTATCAGTGTGATTTTTTTTATATAACGTCTTTTTTTTGTTTTAATCAAATTGAAGTATTTTCTTTTAAGAAAAACATTTATCTTATTTCAAGCTTGTTTGAAACAATATCATTGTTGCAAGAATTGATGTTTTCCTATTCCTGTTATAAGCAATAGGGAAGGCTTTATTTAATAAAATTTATGAAGAATGTGACATTTCTTACAGAATGCCAGTGCCCCTGCAAGATGATTAAATCTCAAAACTACATCAAAGACCATGAAGTTCTTGGCAAAGTAATTGAAAAAAGAAAGAAAATGCTGGAAGTTAAAAAAAATGAACTTTCATCAACAATTCGGAAGAAAACATCAGCCGCGGATGAAAGGAGATCGGCGCAGGGAGTCGGGATGGTATTAGGAGTGGGATTGATTACTTCTGTTTTGTCAATAATAATCTGCAGTGATCTCCCTTTGTTATGTAGGCATATTAGATATGGACCTCAACCACAAAAAAGAAAATGTAGGGCCCGAAAATAAGACGTTAAATGCATTCATTAATTAAGAAAAATATTTGTTAAAAATATTGTTCATTTTTTTTTGTTTAAAAACATATGTTTTGGATTTCTTTTATTTTAAAGGAACTTAGACACAGATTTGAAGTTCATTTTTTCTCTATAAATATTACGACTTATATATTTTAATAGCATTTCACACAAAAATTAATCAAAAATCTTATTTCATTTAAAAGTTATTAAAACTTAATTTTTTGGCGGGTTTGATTGACACATCCTTGCACATTCACAAATTTTAACTTTATTCTTAATCCTTAGGAAAAGTGGCAAACTTGTGTGAAATGCTATTAAAATATATAATTCGTGATATTATACAGAAAATATGAACTTCAAATCTGTGTCCAAGTACCTTATGGCAGCTGAATAAATTACATATGTATTATCGACTGGATATAATTTCATCTACAAACAAGGCAAAATCTTATATAATGACTTAAGAAGATTTATTTTCTTCTTACGTTGTTGATTGTACCAAATGAAAAGATTAACATTTGAAGTAAGAATATGAATACATATTAAGTTTAAAATACTCTATGTTAATAAAATTCTTTTCTGGCGAAGCACTTTTTAGCAGAACAAATATGGCCCTCTGAAACATCAGAGGTGGGATCAGCTGCCATAGAGGAGCAAGCAATTCCTGTGGAGTTTTATTAATGCTTCGAATTATCGTAACTTTTAATACAAAACAAGTAATTATAAGCTTCATCATTGATATAATGTATCGTTATGTCTTTATTTTTTGTATGCATAAAGTTTTGTAATTTTCCTATATTTCTGTGGATAATCATGCTTTATTTAGTGCCACATTCTATTTTAATATCTGATGCATTATGGCCACGATTTAAGAAAATACTCCTGCCTTCTTTTGTTGCAGGTTAAATAACACTATATGCCATAAGTTTATCTTCATATGTTGCATGTACGAGGGTTGATAAAAAAGTAATATCACAGTGTCCATATCTTACTTGGTGTCATATTTTCATATATAATATACCAATAGATACACAAATATAAATCTATTTAACATTAATTCTTTTTATTTGATAATGTTTAATTGAATTTATTTTAAAGATGTTGAAAACCTAGGACATACGGGGGTCGCCGCGTCACAGTTAAGCTTCACGTTTTACTGTGTATTTTTCTTAGAATGAAAAAGACAAACACATTAAAAATCATCTAAAAAGCGCCTAACCGCCCAATGTTTAAGTACAGGTCTCTGTAAGAATCAGGCTAAAGGTGAATTATGAGGGTTCTCAGACCTATTCGATGATTTTTCACACATAGGTTTCTCTAGCACTATTAACCACGTATGTAAAATGAAAAACATTTTGGGTCCTGGTTACTATGGAAACATGGCCAAAAATTTTTCCCTAGCAACCAGTCAATTTTCCATGTGGATGGACAAATATATCACTAAACTTAGAGGCTTGAAATTAAATGTGAATATTACCAGAGGGGTTATTGAATAATGTTATCATAACGATAAACATTTCAAGTATTAAAACCATGTCATAAATAGAATTTTTATTTTAAGATATTTCTTTTACGGGCTATGGAAGATATGCATATTTTGCATTTTTTGCTGAATCAGTATTTTTGTTAATCTGGGTAATTTTCAAGGCCAAATATCTCAAACATCTGGCATAATACAGGAATATGGTATATTTTACATAAAGGCAGAGGATTATCCTTTTTGGAATTTAAATTCAAAAACGTGTGTTTTTTAATAATAACAATGGTATGCAACAAGAAATGGATGTTTTGATTAAGAGAAGGAGACAAATTGTCAAATATGCGAGTTATTTATGGAATTAAATCTTATCGGTGGATACCTAAATCAAATTTTAAAGTAAAACATATTCTGAGACTTCTTTATGAATCCAGGAATATTTTACAAAAACAAGTCGCCATAGCAACAGAAAATTTCCCATAGCAACAAAGGAAATAAATCCACTTTTGACATGCACTCATTAACAGTTTTGATTATTTTTGTCTAGAAATGATGACTTAGTAAATATAAAAAATAGTGGTGAACTTTAACAATAATAATTTTTGTTCTTAATTAATGCATAGCAATATTACTGGGCTTATAACATTAATAAAATTATACATTACAAGGAGCTTAGTTAATTCTCTAAAGTCTCACTACATAAGCATTGTAAAACCAATTCTCCGTAATTATCGAAATTGGTTGGCAACGCATAGTTACAGATTTGGATTTTTTCTATCATAATTTTAAACAAATGTGTGATTGATTGTGAAATCTACAAGTATTTTTGAATTATAACCTTGGATGCCATGGAAACGGGATACAAACGTTCTCATTTCTGTATATCATGAAAATCTGTACTTTTCATGAAGATGTACAGAAATGAAAAGAGATAATTAAATTTGTGTTTATTGTTTTTAATCCAGTACTAGAGATTCAAACAACAATGTTTACGGTTCAATTTTAATTTCACACTCGTTAGTGGTCATGTTATGTACTGCAAAATATCAAAATATGGTAAATTTTGCTCAGTTTTTAAAGGCTTAAAACAAAAAAATGCAACCACTTACAAATTAAGCATAGAAACATGAAGGTCAATATTTTATCATAATAAACATTTTAAATAAAAGATTTAAAAATCCGTGGGCAAATGATATGTGTAAAATAATGTTAAAGGTGAATAATCATTTTTTCTGCATTTTGAAGCATTTTTTGCTTCCCAATTACTTGCTTTGGATTAATCTCCAGTACTTGGAGGTACAGTATGTAGTTTTATTTGTATAAATATTTCGATACATCTAACTTTCATTTATCAGTCATTGGTGCTAAGAATTTTGATAATTCTTATTCTTTCACCTAGTGCTTCCAGCCTCAAAATCTCTCTGTTCTAATAAGAGAACAGGCCTCTGTATGATCGTGTAGACATATGTAGTACATCTACTAATTATTTTCTAAGAATAAATAATAAATAAATAACCACCCTGTTGCTACAATCATTTTTTGGTGGCCGACCATACATGGAGTTAAATGTCAACATAATATAAAGAGAAAATAAAGATGAGGTGAGGAAAATTGCAAAAAGTAAAAAAAGGGTGATTTTGTTCAATAATATCTGAACATTAATTATAGATTTAATATAGATTAAAATGAGAAGGGGGGTTTAAACACATATTAGGAAGGTGTGTATGTGTATTAAAATTTAGTTTTAAATTGAACAAAAGGGGGGTGGGTGTAAAATAATTTAGTTTTGCTATATTGTTTTTATTTAGCTTGCAATATCGTAAAAAAAATTCTGCTTACACCGATTAAAATTAGATTTTAGATAATGTTTTAAAACTAGCAATAATACTGTACAAAGATATAAGCATATAAGCATATAGGAATACTCACCTAGGCATTAAACATAATAATTAGCTAACAGATAAGTACATACATTGTTTGCATGTCAACAGATTACATGCATTTGTGTGTGCGTATATGTGAACAGAAATTGAAAAAATTAACAAAGAAAATGACCAGGAAGGAGTTACACTGTAAGCCAAATTGAATTTAGAAATTTTGGTTTGTGCTATAGCATACTTACCTAATTTTAAAAGATGCCAAAAGGTAAAAAGATGTCGGCTAAAATGCCAGTAATTTTGAGAGG